GGAAATGTAAATTAAAAACATGATGAGAAACCATTACATACATAGTGAAATGACAATAATAAATTAATTAACAGTGATAGTATGAAGCGCTGGCACAGATGACAGACAACTGGAACTCTCTTGCATTGCTGGTGGAATGCAAAGTGGTGCAGTAACTCTGGAAAACAGTTGGGGCAGTTTCTACAAAGCTAAATATGCATTTACCATATGACTCTATCCCCCTAGATACTTATCTAAAGAATTTAAAATGTGCATTCACACAAAGATCTATATGTGAATATTTATAACAGCTTTGTTTGTTATCACAAAATTTGGAAACAACCCAGTATTCCTCAATGACTAGATAAACAAACTTTATGATACATCCATTCTAGGGATACTATTCAGCTGTAAAAAAGAAAAAATATTGATATATGTAGCAGTGTGGCTGGATATCAAAGTGTTGTGCTGACTGAAAGAGGCAGTCTCAAGAGATCGCATACTGTATGTTCAAGTTATATGACGTTTTGGAAAAAACAAAACTATAGCAAGAAATGATCAGTAGTTGCCATGTGTTAAAACTCATGAACTGTACACCAAAAAAGGAAATTTTAGTGTAAGTTGATTTTTAAAATAAAAATAGCAATATATACCCATTGTGTAAATATATATATATTATGAAAATTAAGCATATTTAAAAAATTAGTAAAAGCAGCAGCATTGTTTTACATTTTTATAAACCTCTTTATGGTCTAGCTTAATAGAGACAGCTGGATTCTTATATCTGCTTTTGTATGTACTCTGTTGTACCATATGTCATCTAGTCTGGAAAAACCCTTAATACACTGAAAAGAGAATTAGAATGAAAAAAGCAAATAATATTTTTGTATTGTGATCATTATTTTGACTCTTTGGAACCCTGGAATAGCCTTGGAGATCTCCCAGAATTCCTGGACCACACTTTGAGAACCACTGATATAATAACACACGGTCATAAATTTCAGTCATTTTAAAGCATCTTGAAATTTTTTTTTCTTTTGCCATTTCCACATGTCCTATGTTTACTTAATGGTTTTGTTCAAGTTTACCCATTTTTTTTAGCTCCCAGTTATTTATTTATTTTTTTAAAGATTTATTTATTTATTTATTTATACATGCACTGGGTACAGTCAGAAGTGCGGGAGGGTGAGAGAATTCACCAGAGCCAGAGCGGGGAGCAGAGCAGGCAGAAGGACCGAAGTACACTGCTGAGGGGAGCAGCAGCTGCGGCAGGAGAGGTCTGCTCGCCATGTGGGACCCTCGGCCAGCGGCCAGGGATCGAACCAGCGCTGCAAAGGCTGCGGGCAGCTTCGCAACCCAGCGCCCAACCACTGTGCCACCGGTGAGGCCCTAGCTAGCAGTTATTTATAGAGGAAATTTTCTATATTCCCTATAAATGGAAAACCAGTGTCATTTTCCTTTAAATGAAAGGTTACCGCAAAAATAAACAAGCAACCAATGGTTTATATTAAAAAAAACGTTTGCCCGTGAGCCACCTAAACTGATCTCTGCTTGGCAGGCTTTGGAAAACACCAATGCAGAGGAGCAAAGGTAATGATAACTACCACTGACACAACACTTCATTTCTGTTAATTTGTTTAATCCTTGCAATTATGTGAGAAGTAAATAGTATCATTAACTTTGGTTTGTTTGTTTGTTTTTTCTGCTCAGTATGTATAACAAAAATTGAAGCACAGGCTAAATAAGTTGTATAGTGTTCCACAGTGAGTAAATTGCAGGGCTGGGATTTGAACCCAGGCAGTCTGGCTCCGAAGTACAGGATGAGTACTATGTTGGCAGATAGCAAAGCTGGATTCTTGTCCAAGTTCTTGCAGAAGCTGGCCCTAGAATATACCACTGAACCTCACTGTCTTCATCACTGAAATGAAGGAGGCGAATAAAATCAGGCTACACAAGTTCCAGTGTTGGGTGCCTGCCAAAAGGGTCAGGCTGGAAAGGGAAAAGTGGACTTGTATGTAAGGCGATAGGGAGTGGTGGGGTTAATGGTAAACTGGAGATCTTGCATTTTATCTAGAGAAAGCAAGTGCTACTCAGTTTCAACGGTTTTGGGGGGGCAGAGGGAGAAGACTTTTTTTTTTTTTTGGCCAAATATCCCTTTAAATTATTTTATAAGAGAAGTGAGAAGTCTGGACATTTTGTGTAAAATTCCCCAGTTTTACACATAGACTGACTGATTTACAACTTCTTAACTGGGTGATCTTCTCTAACTTAGCCGTTTCCATGGTTGATTAAGCTGTTTTTATACAGTGGTAGTAACATAATCAAATTTATAGAAATAGGCAGCTCAGAACAATGATGAAAGGGGTTATGGACTTAAAAGTGTCTCAACACAGCCTATATAAATATTGATTAGGAGCCAGGTTAATTGAAAAGCCAAGGTACATTAATAGAATAACAAAGTGTACTACTTTGTGTTCCTTTTGTGTTATAGTAGAGTAAATCAGCAATATTTATCCAGTGCTCATTCTCAGTTTGCAGAGAGCTAATGTAATCATGAGATGAGCTTATTGGAATTCTTTTCTTAGACATAGAAACTTGCCCAAGAACGGTGAGTATTAGGAACTTTAGTCAGCACTTGCTCAGAATAGTAAATATGAACATGTGATTTATGCCATTGTGTGCACAGAGTAATGTTTCCTGAGACATTTTCTATATATATGTTGGCTGTTTTGTTTTTTGGGTTGGCTTGTTGTTTCCCCCTCCTCCGCTTATCAGATTTCCTTCTAAATCCTGGCATTTGACTATGTTGCAGGGCCAGTTTCTCTGTGAATCCACAGTAAAATATACTGGTGGTTTCACAATTAACCTGAATGTGCTTTTATAGCTTATACATGTTTATGTGAATTCCTGCATTTGTTTTTATGTATGTGTGTATATTCGAAGATCTGCTTCACAGAGAGAGAAAAGGAGGGAGGACAGAATCTGTAGATTAAATCTTGAAAGATGAGTTTATTCATCAATGACATCATAAGGATTGTATTTTCTCTTGGTTAATAAACTTTGTTTGGCGGGCATTGTGAGCCAGCCAGAGCTCGTCATGCCATTTCTTGGAAAAGATCTGAAGCAACTGGTAATTGAAATGATAATCATTTGATCATAGTTAGAGCTATTTGAAAAATAACACTCATCTCCAGACTTGTCTCTCATAGGGAACCATATTTGGTAAAATTCTTGCCAAATTCCATCTTTGCTAAAGTTGAGATTTTTATACCTTGATACTTAATTATTTTCCAGTGTATTCTAAACTTGATTTCTAGTGTGCCCCATCTAGAAACTGTTCCCATATGCTTTGAAACAATACCCAGGCCTGAATTTTTATTCTGACATTTAGTAATCACCATGTAATAGCTAGAAAATGCGTGACAACTACAGATCTTTTATTTCAAGAGGATGGGGTAGTGAATCTGAGTGAAATCATCCACTGAAATGGTACTTTGTAATATGCCCCATTGTTTATAAAGTATTGCATTTTTTTCTTGAGCAGATGATAAAAACAGTTTCCACTTTGTCTCCCACATTGTACAAGTTCATATTTAATCATGATAAGAGAAAGGATTCCATTACGAAAGTTTTACTTTTCATTTTGATGGAGTATTTGTTATTTTATTACTGCCTAACAAACTTTCTTCTCAGAAGCAGCTTGGAATTGGATGAGGAAAAGTGAAATTTTAGATCCTACTTTAAAACATTTTAAAAAACTAAACCCCGGGCTTCTCATTGTGTGAAGCTTATCTTAATAAACCCCTTTTTGTTTGCTTTGGAGTAGTGTGTGCAGTGATGTGTGTGTGTGTGTGTGTGTGTGTGTGTGAGTGAGTGTGTAGGTGGAGGAAAAAGAGGAGTCATGTTTAACAGTAAAATTAGCCAAAATCATTTGTGAATTCCTTTTGTTTTATAGCCTAGACACGTCTTCCTGTTGTTGTTTGTCAAAAACATTTCTAAGATTTTGTCAGCTTAGGGGTTTTCACAGCTAAACTTTCTTCAGAAATGTGAAGTAAAAGAAATAAAAGAAGTCAATTCAAGTTGAAATGTCAAATGCTTCAAATAATTTCACTTAAAACCCAGTCAGATGATCTTCTTAAGCCTTGTCCAAAATATCTTTGGGTAACTAAGGCCCTACTTCGCTCCATGTATAGATTATCTCTTAACTATTTTGCTGGATTAATACTGAGTCAGAAAAGTTGTTTCCTGGAAGCAATTAGAAATAGTTAAAATTCAAATTTATGATCCATAGGAGAAACTGAAGTTTCAACTACTTTGCTTAGGTGCGAAGGCTTTCTCCTCACTCGCCCTCTAGCCTCTTACCCTGTATGTATTAAAAGAAAAAATCAGTTCATTTCTCAACTTACAAAGTTTTTAGGAAACATGAGAATGTGTAAGTTTCTTTCAGTGGGAAGCACATAACATTTATGAAGTATTTCTTTTGGGATTACATCACAGTTTTATTTAATTTTTAGGACAAAAGTTAAATTCAATATTTGTGTATAAGCCAAGGGAAAATGTACCATAAACATAGGAATTCTGGGGTGAGTCAGAGTTCCAAGAATCCCAGATTTACTTAGACCATTTATATAGAGACAGGCTAACCATTAGTCATCTAGCTCTCACTTTTTTACTTTTGCAATTAATTGCACTTAAAAATTAGCTTTCGTCCAAGTGGTCAGTTCTGCAGTGGGAATTTTGGCAACTAGTATTAAAAATGGCTATTAGAATTACAGATGAAATTTTGGATACTTTCTAATCATCTAACAAATATATCCTTTAAAGTATTCCTCAACTAAACAACAGCAGTGTAAAACCATTGAAATAAAGTGAGTTATTAAAGATTCTCTGTCACGGAAAAACCTATTTTGTCTGCTTGCGTTAGGTTAAATCACTCAGATGGTATTTTAAATGGGCTTTGTTGAAAATTTATTATTTGCTTCAGAATCACAAATAATGTTTTTTTCTTCTTCATCTTATAGGATGAAGTCATTGCTGTTTCCGAAAAGGTAATTGTGAAGCTTGAAGACCTCGTCAAGTGGGTACATTCTGATTTCTCTAAGTGGAGATGTGGTCTCCAAGCTGAGTCAGTGAAAACTGAGACCTTGGGAAGAAATGGACAAAAGGAAGCTCTGCTGAAGTACAGGCAGTCAACTCTGAACAGTGGACTCAACTTCAAAGATGTTCTCAAGGAAAAGGCTGACCTTGGTAAATATAATTTATACTTCTAAATGTAATGTGTGGGCATATTCAGTAATCTACCTTTTTGGGCAGATTTTTCTGGAAACCCTGTTATTTATACATGTATATATACATATGTGTGCCCAAATATGTATATATACAATCAGTATGTAATCAACACATATATAATTCAAATATATTATCTAACTGTATATTATATATATGTGTGTATATATACATACAGACCTATAAACTTCTTTAACCTCAAAGGGCCTGGGAATATGATGGGCATATGACTGGGTGTGTAGGGGTGGCTGTTACCTATTGGTTCCAGGGCCTTCTGTGTATATAAACCTGTGATAGAAACTGGGTGATGTAACATGTGGCCTTAAGCAGCTTCCAGTTGGTGTCAAAGCATGACATAATTGGGCCACTTAAAATGGGATTAATGGAGAGTTTAAATATTTGTTCTAAGTAGATAGTATATCTATTAACACCATGTCAGAATTTCATGTTTTACATTACGTGGAGAGAAAAGTGAGGAAGAGAGATGAGGTGCTTAAGGTGGAGCCACAGGGCAAGGCCAGAATGGGGGAACCTCTCACTGACAACTTATGGCATAGGCTTCCTTGAGCTTTTAACATTCAGGGATCTCATCAATTATGCATTCTATGTTTTTTCTCTTGCCCATATTCCTGGATAAGTTTTAAAGGAGATGTGGGCTTCAGAGTTACTCATGCTTGGGATGTGGAGTAGTTTTTCTGGTTGGTGTTTGAATTCTGTCTCTGCTGCTTACTTCCTTGTGTGGCCTTGGGCAAATAATTGAACCTCTAAGCTTCAATTTCCCCATCTGGAAAATATGGGAACTTTACTGGGTCACTGTGAGATGCAAGATATAAAGTGATTAGCATATATGAGGAGCTCCATAATTAATCTAGTGCTTAAAACACTTTTCTCCTGTGACTTTTTGAGTCCTTTCTTGTTTTTCTTTTTCCATTTATTTCTCCTCATGGCATTTCATTGACTTACTCTCCTAGCATTGCTCAAGATTGAAGTTGTTGACCTCTGATTTAGACCAGTTATTTCCTCTTAAGGCAAAGAGGAACTTCACTTTTAACATATTAAGGCATCTTTTTCTTTCATTTTAGCACAATGCTGATTTTCATAGCCCTATTTTATGCATTAATGTGACAACTTCCTGTTTTAGCCTAGAATTTAACTACTACAACAAACTTAGGCTATTTTAATTGGCATAAAGAGACTGACTAACACCACTAACTGACTGTGTCTTTCATGTGATTTTGGTTTCTGATGAACTGTGCTGTGTTTGGGGAATAGCACTAGTGTTTTCTTACAGTTAAATTTAACGATCAACAGTTTCCTGGCATTTTTTGGTAGATGGCAGACAGTGCTATTTTGGATATGATGGCCTGATTGTCATATGCTCATTTAGAGAAAATTATTAATCTAGTGGTTTTCATTTTAAAGCTCAAGAATTTTTTTTTTACTGATCTTCCTATATATGCTGTTATACCCCCTAATTTTGTGAACACACAATAGCTAGTCTTCTGACATATGATAATGAGAAATAATACATCTGTTACTTTCCTATCATATGACCTAAGTTGTACCGTCCTATGTTTTCTTTAACATTAAAACCTTTCTTCTGTTTGATTTTTTTTTTTGAGTTATGGAATATACCGTTACTAATAAAAAAACTAAACAGGAAACCCACGGGGGACAAAAGGATGTGTAGATGGTTAAGCTTGATGTCACACATATAAACAAGATTATTTATAGCAGTTACTTTTTCTTTAAAATTGATAGTTTATTAATGAACATGAAAATAATCCCAATCTCTTTATTCCATCAAAAGATTTAGAGGTTTGATGTCTCTGAATTCTAAAAAAAATGTCCACAATCTACCTTTTTGATAACTGATTCCAGAAGAAATTGGTTTATAGTGGATATTCAGAGTATTTAGTGGTTTTTAAATCTACTTTAAAAATAATACTTATTGTTGAATACAGCTTCCCCAGATTCTTCATTCAGTAGAACTGAGGCAAGACCAAAGAATGTGTACTGATAAAAAGCTTTCTAGGTGATTCTGATTTTTTTTTTTTTCCTGGTCTCATTTAAGAGACAGCTTTGGTATCAGAGCAGAGGTAGGGAAAATAATCAACAGGGGATTTAATTGGAAGAGGTCTCCTCTGGTGAGCAAGAAACACCATGTACTTTTTAATGCATAATACCTCCCCCTTTTTAATGTATAATACCCCTTTAAGGATAGAATTTGGGGCCTTGAAATTCTACTCAGTTGGTATGAACTGAGGGGAATTTGAGACAAATAGCTTTTGTAATTGGAATGCACACTGTGTTGTAATAATGTGGAAAGAGAAACAAAAACTTTCCTTAATGTAATGAGTTTCCATTATCTACTTGATCTAAGGTTTACAAGTCTACATTGTTAGGATTTATATTGGGGAGACAAGGGGGTGTCATTTGTTGTACGCATTCCTGTCCCAGCAACTTTCTCTTCAACCTCTTCCTTTCTCTGTCTGCAACATCAAAATATTTGTTGTCTGTACTTTTCTGTTACACAGTGGTTTTCTTATCTTTCTTTCTCTTGGCCACACTGAAACCCCTTCCAAAACCACATTGTTAATGGAAGTTCACACACTTATTAGGTTTTTCCTTTTGTAGAACCCTTCCAACTCCTCATTGTTCTTACCAAAGAAAGAAGATGAACTCTGAGATTACTTAAGACCCCCCCCCCTTTTTTTTCTTATGAAAATAAGCAAAGAATAGAAAGATCTCACCTTTCCATGAATAAAGTAAAACTACAATATGTTGTTGTTTTTTTAACTGGAGTTATTTCATCATATGAAAACATTATAATAATATAAAATATATAATAATAAAAAAATAATTAGGTTGACTCTCAAAGAAGGGATTTTAACCTATAAAAGCTAATTAAAGAACTTTTCTTGCTCAATGTTTAGGTAGAATAAATTCCCTTTAATCCCAGTTTGTGTCACTTCCTGTCTCTCTCTGAATAGTAAAAAAACAAGAATGTTCTCACAAATGTGTGTCTGCCAACAAATTAATACTCCGCAAAGAGAAACTCTGCCCCAAATGGCAGCTTCCAATAACTGCTCTGATTCAAAGCACAACTCTTTCATTTTTTTATCCCCTTCCCCTTCAAGGACAATATTTGCGGATGTCATGCTTGCTTTATAAAAATCTCTGGAGTTTTTATTTAAGATTCTAAATGACTGGTGACTAAAACTACACATCACAATAGTGGGGAAACTAATAATTTTAAAAACACTTCTGAGATGTGTTAAAATATTTGTCTCCTCCCCTCCTCTTTGTCCTTTTCAAAGAAAGAAAGTTCAATATGAAACTAATGCAAATTGTGACTTTACTCAGTGAGATGTTTTACCTATTTTCAGTCAGTTTCATACTGGCGTTTATTCAAAAAAAAAAAAAGAAAAAAGAAGTTTGTTAAAATAGAAGGGTTAAGGAATGTATTATTCATAAGCATAACGAACACAGGAACCTGTTTTTCCAGAAGAATTGGGTTGATTAAATCATTCACTACACAAGCCTCTAGTTATTTATTTTTGTCTTTAGAATTACAGTACTTAGCTTTTGTAATAAAGTGGACTTGATACCCATATTTGGTATGGCAGTTGGAAGTAGTCAAATGAAGAATTATTTCATTTTGCAAAATTTTTAGCAACTAAGGAATATAAACACTATCAGTTAAACATAGCAAACTTGCATTTTTTATTCCTTGGGCTATAGTTTGCAAAAAAATCAAATTATTTTATATAACACTGCTTCTTACAGAGTTCCTTTAAGTGAAGTATGAAAGCTGCAGTGTAAGCTTTATTGGCCTATAAATATGTCATTATAGTTGGACTACATTTATATGCTTTGGATTGTTGTTTAAGCCAAGAAAATATGTCTCTACAGGTTGACTTTTTATTGAAACCCTTTGAGGCATACAACAGAATGTATTTTAGGCCAAGGTTATTAAAACAGCATTTTCATTTTTTTGCAGCAGACTCATTGTCAATTATGCTGCCACAAACTGTCAGTGGATGGGCAGTTATGAATGGTTTCATCCCCAAATGTATCTTTAGAAAAAGAAAGAAAAGATAGCAGAATCTGAACTGAAATTGAGAAAAGAGACCAAGAAGAGATTGTGGTGTGGAGGATATGGCTGAATTTAATGATGGGGGTTCCCTCAGTTAAACTTCTGTTTCTAAAGTTCCATCAAAGTGGCTTCCCCTCTCCCTTTTGTTGCTGGAACTATCAGTGAACTTTGGGGAACAGACAACATGGTGGTGTTAAAAGAGTAGTGGATTGGATGTGACTGTGGGAGAAACTTGACTCTACATGTGGATCTGTCACTGAAAAAGTCACAGCATTTATACATTAAGGTTCCTTGTGGGTAAAATGGGTAGTACTGAGCACCACTGGAGTTTAAGAAGATTAGGGGAAAAAAAATCACTTACTATCCATGGAAGCATTTGTGATTCTGAAGGCTAAGAAGGTCTTGCCGTCATGTTGTTATTATTAGAAATTAGAAGGCAGTTCTAAAGGACAGTGAGTTCTGTGATACAATATTAGCTTATTCGTATCTTTTGAATTGGCCAAATCATTTGTTCTAGTGATTTAGGACCGGTTTTGCTCCCATTACCACCTACCTCAATCAAAGACTACTATTAAAATCTTTAGGGTTGTGTGTGGTATGTTTGGTGTGTGTGTGTGTGTGTATGCCCGTGCATGCATGCATATATGTATATATTCACACATATTTTTATAGAGATATAGCTTTATGTTTTATATTGTATAACTTTTTCCTTTTGAAAATTCTGTCAAGAAAAACTGTGCCATGAGTGACCGGTAGTGTCAGTGATTTCTCAAATACTCTTAGTTAGAAATTGACTATCATCTTTGCTTAGAAATTCTGGAAGTTTTGTTTTAGATCATGTTTGAGTTTAATGTGCTTCCTG